GCTTCGGCCGCCTCCGTGTCGGCAGCAGGAGCGACGGGATCGGACTTGTCGGCGGAGGAGCGGAACTTGTGGAGGAGAGGCTTAAGAGCGATCTCTATGGCCAACCATCCCAACGCTAACGCTCCCACTACCACTGCCACCTGTTTCGCCATCCCTCCTCCTTCCCTTCTGATTCCCAAATTCGATTTATCAAGTTTCGGACCCCAAAGGAAAAAGCAAGCCTCGACGTTTGAGGCCGTCGATGGAATTGAACCGACGATCAGGATTTTCTGAGGCATTGGAGATCGAAATGGGCCTGAGTTGGGCCATTTGGGCTTCTTCATAAAAAGACAAAACCTGCATGGGGATATGAGAGAGTCAAATGAACCTCCATCGTACAAGCAAAGATAAGACGCCAACACCACTCAACCGTGTACAGACAAAATTCCCCTTCACTTGAATTACTCGGACAATTTAGTCTCATTTTTTGGTATCGTTCATCTTTTTCTTTTTCTTTCAAAAATACAAGTTCAATCCTTACTTGTGATTTGAGTTTAGAAACAGAGTGTTTGACCAACACGCACCAAATCACAAATTACTCGGACAATACACAGTTAATTGCGTATGGAAATTTAATCGCTTAAGAAAGAACACGAATTCTTTTCCACGACAACCAAATTCTCTCGCATCTGACTGAAAAAACATGTTAATTACAGAATTGAGAGCGAGGAATCTGTCGGGAGCAGAGGTTATAACTAATGTGGGTGTGGATAAGGACGAGCGAGTCTATGCATGTACATCAGGCCCAACTACAATTAAAGAAAAGAATCGGCAACAAAAGACATACGATTGAAAAGCAAAAGACGATTGCTGTCATTGTCAACCACAGCCTCCCCTCCCACCATCGAACGAAGCCCAGCCCCGCTATGCACACACTTCAAAAATGGTTAAGCATGGATACGTTACGTACCATTTGGTAAAACGACTAGTACTTGAGCTCGGAGAGATGAGACGGGCATGAGCTTATGATGGACTTCATCATATTCCTTCCGCACACTGGGGATGCTGCTTTCTCCACTTGCTGTTGGCTCGATGGCGGACTGACGACCGTACAACTTGTTTTGTTATTAGGAGATGCCACCGCGAACGAGATCTGTGTCTCTCCTTTTGGCTGCTGAGACTGGTACTGCCGGATGCTCATAGAAGAACAAGATGCCAGTGGGGACGCTGCTGGGTCTGACTTCGCTGTCTCAACGCATATACTGTTGGGGAACTTGGCTGCCAGCGATGTTGCTGGCAAGCTGTGTTCATCCATCAATTTACTTCGACCAGATGCCTGCCGATGTTTCTGAGTAGACGCTGCCACGGTAACTGCAGAAGATGACCAAGTCCCAGACATGAAGTTCAACGTTCTCGCTGAATTGTCAAAAGCCAGTGTCTGCCCATTCTTTCTGGGAGTGGGAGTGGCCTTCCCAGAAACTGTTGAACAGCCTCCGGTCTTCCCATCACTTTGTTGTTGCTGGTTTTTCTGTTGACCAGCCTGAGGGGAATGTACAATTCGGTATCCGTTGGATGTAAAATTCAGACTTGCAGGCGCACCACTGCCACTGTATGAGGCAAATGGCATGGGAGAGTTGAGTGGCTGGACAGGAACTGTCAGAGTGCGAGAACCCCTAAAATCAGAGACCAAGGAAGAATTATCTTCCCTTGTTTTCATCTCAGGTTTTTGAGACTGATGAGCAGTTGACTGCAGACGCTGTTTCTGCACATTGGCCAGACTCAAATTACTACTCCCAACAATTTGGGAGTGCGGTTGCCTGTGGGATGACGATGAGCCACTCGATGTGCTTGTCTCTTTGTGGGTTTGACCCTGTTTCTGCAGAAGCTGAGGAGGTTGGAGCATCTGCGGTGGATACAAGGATCCATTGAAGAAAGGCAACACCGGACCGGTGGCTCCACCTGTAGAAGCAGGCCCGGTTGACACTTGAAACGAATACCCATTGTTTGGTAAAATTGTCAAGTACTGAGAGGCTCCACTGGTCGATGAACTTGGATAGCTAAAGCTGACGGATGTTGAACCACTGGCCAAAGATGGATTCTTTGTTGGGCCAGAGGATTTACAAGGCACAGACTGATTGGCAGCACCCATGACCAGATGCTGGTGGTTGTTCATGGGGAAGATGAAAGCTGGAGCAGGCTGCAATACCATATTAAAAAATATTCTTCTTTAGAGCAATACAATGAGAAAGGGTTTCAATTATATTTCTAAAGTTTCAGGAAAAATCCAAACGAAACAACTAGAGGAAAATCGTATGAGATGTGAGTGGAAGGAAGTCCATACCGCCAAATTACTAGGTGCAGAAGGAAGCTGTGGCTTCTTTTGTGTAGCTTCAGCAGAATTGCCACTCCCATAGGCCTTATCTTTCTGGGAAGGAACATTAGCCACGATTTTCCCTTTGTCTTGTGCCAGAGAGTTCAAATTAAGAATGGGAAAACTCCCATGCATGGATGGATTTCCATGGATTAAGCCTTCTGCAGCAGTCGGTGGTACGACACAGAGATTGCTAGGCGTGGAACCGCCACCATTTGAAGAAACAGAGGCTTGATTTGGCACCCAGACATGGTTTGTTTTGACAAACTGCTGATGCAACTGGATGTTCCGAGCAATGAAAAAATGTGTGGCACACCTTTTAGGCCTAGGCTGAGAGGCAGTCTGCATCGCAAATGTTAATACCATCAATGTTAACCAGACAGAATAAGAATTCACCAGGATAAAATCAAATGCATATACAGCGAAAGATACCTGCAGTTTTGGAGATCCAGTGATCCCATCAACAGGTTTAACAGCGTGGAGTTGGGACACATATCTGCAAATTTTTTATGGGTCATTAGTCGAAATAGAACGAGAATGGGGATATGGACAAGGGCTTTCAGAACTCACCTCGTAGGAGGAGGAAGCCCATTAGGCCAGCCACCTGCAGCTATCGGCAAAGGCGGATCTGAACTCGGCTGAGCTGAAATTTTGGGAAAAATTTGTACAAGTAAAGGAAATTTGGTTAGCTTACACTTCCGGTTTAAAACTGGGCAAACTTCAGTAATGCTGATTTCCAGTCATTGGATACAAAGTGAGTTCGTACCAGATTTAGCCTGCAACTGCTGGTTCTGACCTTGATTTCGTAATCCAAGGCTAGAATCTCTGACGGTGTCGTGACTCTGTTTCTGAAGATCAAGCGTCAACCAATCACGATTTTGGACCCCCTTCTCTTCGATTTCATCCAGGCTTGTGTCCTTTTTTGTAATAGCTTTCTCATTGCTCTTTTCAGAACTCTCCAGCTGCAATAAGCACAGGACAAGCAGAGTCATGAACTGCACACGAGGAGACACATACCGAGAAAACCTACACTTGCCTTGTTGTAATCTTGAGCAATTGGGTTGGAACCAGAAGCCGATGGAAGAGAATCTCTCTCCGGCGAGGAGGCCATTGGAGGAGGAACCTATTGCAATGACAGTAAACTGAATGTTTCGGGAAATGTAATGCAAAAGAAACTTAAACGGCTAATTTCCTCACCACAAGGCAGAGCTCGAGCTTGTTATTAGCGTAACTTTCCTCCCTCCCGCTTTTTGATCCGAAGGAGAAAAGAGCTAGATATCATTAGATCTCCAAACAAAGATTTAAGAGGAAACGTTGAAAAAGTTCTTCAGTCTTAAATAGTTTACCCTTTCATCGCTGTAGAATCCTGTCTCTTTCTCTCCAAAACACCATCGGGGCTATCCAATTGCTCTTGTTTCTGAGCTCCGATTTCCGTATCCATGGCTGCGCACGATGCCTCCACCCCTTCAGTTCCGGCAGTCCGGTGAGATATGGAATAAAACCCCGCTGGTTTCTCTGGTTTAGCCATGGATATCTCGATGTTCCCAGAGTTTCCGGCTTCGGTTCTCGCTGTATATGTGATGGAATCGTTGTCTACATGCGCGGAAGAATCATCAGCTTTTGTTTCCATCTTTTTCGAATCTGCAAGAGAAGGTAGGGGCAAGTAAGAAAGAGACCGAAGTAGCAAGGATAAACATATTTCCGAAATGAGAATTCGAAGGGTTTCTCTGTGTAAAAACGCAATTGCTCATCGTTTATACCTTTCAATTCAGACGATTTTAGAGGGTTATCCGAATCCTCTTCCTTCTTGGATTTGCGTGGTTGCTTCTTCAGCCCAGATAGAACCTCCGCTATCTCAAACTCCAGGTCGTCCTCCATCGTGCCGGGGGATTTCAGTGGCTTCAGGACACGGAATTTGGATCTGTTTACGTTCTGCAAAATCAAAATTATAAAACAATCTGATACTAGCATTTCAAAACCGTGACCCAATCCATTGTTTTTTTAATGGAATCGCAAACGGACCATCTTCTGCTTGGCCGAAACAATGGAGGAAGACGGAGATGCAGCTTCGAAGCTGTAACTCGCCGGCGAGGCTGGAGGTCTCCGGTGGTCATCTCCATACCCTCCTCCACCGCTTCCCGAAGAAGTCCGGCAGTCATGCGCCCTCTTTATGCAAGCTGTAAAAACTCAGAAAAATCAGACGAAGATTCAAAATCTGTGAGATCGATCAGGAAAAGGAAAATGTCCGAGCTCCAACCTGACCGAGCCTTCCTGGGAACAGGAACACCGATCATGTCATCGGCGGCCTGCAAAGATGGATCCATTCCCGTCTTCGCCATCGCATGCCTGGGAACACGAGCCGGTGGGAAGCTCTTCCTGAGATGATTCGGCTGGGACGAAGCGGAGTTATGAGATATCGGAATATCTTCGTCATCCAGACTTTCATCAGAGCTGTCTTCTTCTGCATCTATCTCGTTCTTCACCACGAACCTGTCGCTTCGCCTCCTCTTGCTACGATTCAACGATTCACGATCTCGTTCTTTCTTCTCCGGTCGATCTCTCAGCGTCACCCCTTCCTGCATAATCTCCGCATGACTATCATCTGAATCATCAGAAAACCTCATAAGAAAAAACGCGAAAAAAGGAGGAAGATATTACTGAATAAAGGAAGAAGGAGAAGGAGGTCAAACACATACCTGAGCTTCTCTGTCTCCGCCTGGATAAACCATTTGAGGCCGCCATGGCGGATCTTCGAGCTTCTCTGGTTCTATCCATGCAGAACGCTACCAACACGAATAACCCATCAATCGAGCATCGGCTTCTTGCTTCAGTATAAACTCTCTCTCTCTCTCTCTCTTATCTGGGTTCTGGGGTTCCACCAGGTTTTTGGTGCCTCTGTATTTCAGTGCTCATCAAAATCTCATCTTCTCCTTTATTATGGACATTCACTGACGAAAAAAAGAAAAACCTACTCCAGAAAAAAAAAGATGAACGGTTGAGATGTTTAATAAGGGAAGTAACCTCATCGTAGCCGTTGGATAGAGACATGAATCTGACGGCTGTGATTTCTGGATTCCAGCATGGTAGAGACGTCACTGTCTGATGGAATAAAGCCACTGCTTAATGCTGGTCCCACTTTATTTTCATATTCATATTCAACGGCAATTACTTGGAATTTTAAATGCAAGTCCATTACTATATTGAACTTTTTTTACGTACTGCATTTATTTATTTAAAAATAAACTAACATATGTTAATGGGTCAAGTTACGTAATAAATTAATAGGGACAGATGCGGAGCAATTGTATATTGTGCATACCTTTTAAAGTTTTTGACCGTACGAGACAAACGATAAACTAAAAAACAATTAAATGGTAAGGAGATATGAAATGTGCGATTAAACTATTCGTCGCATTTTAAATGGAAGGGTAGGTTTGTGCAACCACTGCCACTCCAATTCCTCAAAGCAACCAATGGCGCACACTCCAAGCGACTCGGTCAAATCCACACTATTAGCCTGCGGGGACCCACACTCGCCAACGGCGCGCATTGCTTCGTTATCTTCGGACAAGTTAAACTTTACTTTTAAAAATATTTATTTTAACGTTAAAAATCTAAAAATATTTTAAAATTAGAAGTTTTTATATGTTATAAAAACAAAAAATATTTAAACTTTAATAAGCTACTTTAAAAAAAAATTACATGTTTTTGTGTTACCTTTTTTTTTTGTGGTGAGGTTCATCCGAAATTTTAAGATATTTTCATTTATTTATTATAAAATATATGCTAAACGATAGTTCCGACAAAATATCCAAAATATCTTTTTTTACTGCAACTACTTCTACACATAATCTTTTTCAAATGTGAATATATGACTGAAATAACAGTATGATCATATAGTGGTTATATTGGTTAGGGATGTCAATTAAGTTCGGAGCCCGAAATCCGGTCCGAGCCCGCCCAAAAATTATAAAGACACGGGTCTAAAAAATGTAGGCCTTTCAGGCCTCGGGTCAAATGGGCTACAGGCCGGTCGAGCCGAGCCAGTCGGGTTTCGGGCCGGGCTTGAGGCCCGTTAATTTTTTTTTTGTTTTTTCTAACCTTCTTTTCTAAAC